AGCCAATCGAGTACAGTAAAAACCCGCAAGTAAGAACCTACATTTTTAGGAGTTAGCCTAAACAGGTTCTTATATAAATGGTACTTAACAAAATTTTAGGCTATTTAGGTTCTTAAAACAGGTTCTTATTCTTGGAGAAAAACACACCTGCATAACAAGTTGGCAATTGTCCTATATTTTATAACTACATATTATGCACTCATTTTTCTTAAGAAAATCATGTTTTACAGCAATGGCAATCTGGTTTTTCTTCGATTATGATTACAGTAAATAATTTCAGTGTACCTGTAATGTACTATACGATTTTAGAAAATCAGAACTTATTTTAATTTTCCTAGGCTAAATAGGTTCTTGTTTATAGAGGGTGTAAATGGTAAATTTTAGCCTAACAGGTTCTTAATTTTTAGGTTCTTACTTGCGGGTTTTTACTGTTAAGTGTCTTGCCTAAGAACACAACACAAAGTTCCCAGCCAGGGCTCCAAGCGTGACCACTCAATCCAGAGTTTAGCCCACGAACCATGAGGGGACTGCACCTCTCATAGCTTTGTATTACTCTTATAATAAGATTTTTTGTATTAGTGGGAAGAAGCAATTCTGTTTCCCAAGACTAATTAGGTACATATCTGTTGTTTTATTGACCTAAACTAACATTTGTGGGTTTTGGACTTGACAAGGGAATTAAGTATTTAATTTTGCTTGGCATTTTTTTCAGCCATATGAACACCCTGTGCGAACAAACCAAATTCCTCGGCAAGTTCCTGATCAGGCCTGGTTCATGAGTCCCTTGCCAAGGTGAGGTTGTTACTTTTTGCTTTGAGTCCAACTGAATATTGCCGCAAATTGCAAAGTTTTTCTTACCACAAATTACTGCTCAAAAAAGCACCTTTTGGGAATGCCAAAACAGGGCATTAGGACTGCCAAAAATTAATAACTTGTGGACAGACTAACTTGTTGGCTTATGATTCAAGTAGTGCAGAATTCCATTTGGTGAACATCTTGGACAACAGGTGTCTGAAGAAGCATATGCATATGCTAAAGTCTGAAAATTACAATGCATGCAATTTTTGGCGTGGCTTGTCTGATCTTACTATTTATTAGAAACATCTCTGTCTGGAACACTAGGAAGGAGCCACGTTTTCTCCAACAGGAGCTGGAAATGTGTGAAAATTTTATCAGCACTTGTAATTTTTTGTTCAAATTATTTAACATTGAATTCCTTGCTTTATCTTCCAGCAACCTGATGGCTGGAATTCTCCCCTTTGGTGCTGTGTTTATTGAGCTCTTCTTTATTTTATCTGTAAGTAAAGTAAACATAAATTTAATTCCTCTTGGATCAAAGTAACTTCTCTGGATAGGAACTCGTCTTTTACTGTCAACTTTAATTATTTCACTTCCAAGAGTGATCAAAGAGGAATTTTTTTCTACAGTATCAATAATTTCCAGTAGAACAGTGGTGAGAGGAAAAGAATATATCAGTTAGGGAATATTGTTTGATTTAGCACCAAATTCTCAAAACAAAAATTATGAGAAATGGATGAGAGACAGTGGAGAGAATATACATCTTGATCATGGGAGTGAGAGGGGTAAAGAATTTTAGTTAGTGTTAATAGAGAAGAGTTTTTTAAAAGGTACATTTGTGTTATCTTATATGATTGTTTTCTCTGCATTCCTAGGCAATCTGGGAAAATCAGTTCTACTATTTGTTTGGTTTCTTGTTTTTGGTGTTCCTGATCCTTGCCAGCTGCGTTTCACAGATTTCTATAGTGATGATTTACTTCCAGTTATGTGCTGAGGTAAGAGGATGTCATGGGACTTTGCAGTTAGACCCAGTAATGTTGTGAAAGCAACTGTGGGTGATCCACTTGTACTGGTTTCCATTTTCTCAAATCCTGTCTTTGATCTTCTGGAGAAGGAGTTTGCTTCTGCTGGAGAAGGGGTTGGGTTATTTCTGTGTCAGCACCTGGTTTATCAAGCCGAACAGTACCATTTCATGGTTAAGCAGAGGGCGTTATCTTAACTGAAGCCTCCAAAGAAAGTTCCTTTCTGCATTGAATGCCACTGTTGAGAAAACATTGAAAGTTAAGAATTGCACAGGAATGCGACCAAGAGCAATTTTCATTTTCTCTGTCTTGGTTGGGATATCTTTTGAAATATTTTAGTTTTTCCATGCCACTCCTCTTTTTCCACCTTGGCAAACTGTACTGACAGGCTTTATTCTTTGGAGAATACACTGCAACTAATTTACAGGTATCTGAGCAAAAATTACAATTGAGCAAAAACAATTGCCTTCCTCTCACAGACTCGTGCTTACCACATCAACTTGTCCACAGCCTGACAAAGGAAAGAAGAGAAAAGACATCCAAATTCTTAAAGTAATAAGAAGCATTTTTCTTTTTCTTGCAGGATTATCACTGGTGGTGGAGATCGTTCTTTATGTCTGGTTCATGCTCCATCTATGTATTCTTTTATGCAGTATTCTATTTTGTTACTAAAGTAAGTTTCACTACAGCTTCCTTACTGCTTGTTACTGGTGAATAGCTTTATAAGGATGTCATATCCCTTAACTGTTAATTTTTCATATTGAGATTTACATTATTTGACAAAAATAGTTCATGTGTATGTATTTTGCATTCATTTAATTCTTAAAATAGGGGGTAAAAATAATTGGACTTCATATGCAATGTCTGTGATTTTTTTTTTTCTTTTAAAATGTTGTGTGCCTTGTCATTCAAGATTGTGTGTTCTTTCTTGCAATAGTCTAAAAGATACCCAACTGTTCTAAATTCAAAAGTTTGTTTGAATGGAAATCTTCCCCCTCTATTTGAACCCAGGGATATAATAAATACCTTGCTAACCTTGGTCTTGGTCCATACTGTAAGTTGCAGAACCTTGTTTTTTCTTCCAGGGCTCAACACTAGCTTTTCAACTTACTAGCCAAGTGGCTAGTGACATCTTAGATGTTACTACAATTTCAGTTTGTTTACAAGCCAAACTGGTCAGTGGAAATTGAAAACCACTAGCCAAAACTGAATTTCTACCAGTCTGTGGCTAGGGTGGGCTATTGTTAGTGTTGAGCCCTGTTTTCACTCAGATTTATGGCCTGTGCCCTTTGCACTTGGGCTAGTCACTATAAATCAGAGCTGAAAAAATTTGCTTCATAAATCACATTAGAGACCTTGAACTTACTGTGGAATTCTCCTCTTATCTTTGTTGTAGCTTGACATCCAAGATTTTGTCCCAGGTCTTTTGTACTTTGGCTACACATTTATCATGGTTTTGTCCTTCTGGTTGCTAACAGGAACAGTTGGATTTTATGCCACATACCTGTTCATCAGGCACATTTATGCAGCTGTGAAAATTGACTGAGTTGGGCTAGCACACAATGAACCAAGTTATAGCGACATTTGTAACAGCAACTAATACTACACAAGGGAGGAAATTTGGTAGTAATGGACTGGTTTTATTTCCAACATACATGCATACAGAGATACTGTGTGCCTAAGATGTCATCTGTTGTTTTGGTAATGAACACATTTACCAAATTTGAATGTTCAGCATTCTTCACTGAAGACTTTTTTTCGTCTAAAATTTACTAGTGAGATAATTTACTGTACACTGTTAAACTTAATTTTTCTTTGGCTTGTGTTAAAGTATGAGAAAATGATTTTTTTTAACAGATCAATTCTTTTATGTAAGTTTTCAGACAGGCTTTGCTTGAACAAATAGTTCTTTAACTCCTGTTGCCCTTGCACTCCCAGTGGTGACAAATGCATACCGGTACTTTCCCTTTACAATATCAATACAATGTCAAGCAGACAAGTGATGAGAATATCAATTAGAGACTTATCGTTTCATCCAATACAGAACTAGAAGTATAAGGAATATGTGGTAGATAGTATGGAGAATTACAAAACAAATCTTCAGAGCAAACAGTTGAGTGACCAACATCTAATTTCTCTGGACAGTATCACTGCTGGATCTAACATTTAGGTCGTGGAAAAAAAAAAAAATAAAGAGGTTGCCAACTAAGGAAGCCCTTGATTGATAAACAAATTCTCCATTTTAGAACTATAAGAAATGTATAGAGAACAGCAAGGAGGATATGCACATTGATGCCAGGTTGTAAAGGGTTATTTAATCATTATCATTGAAAAGATAATTATTGCTTTTAGAAAATGGTCTGGATTACTTCATGGAATATTGTCTGGTTGCAATGACAAAATATTGAACCAGATATAATTTAAAGTTGTCAGATATGTCCTCCTGACTAACCCACAGCATTCTTATCATTTTTGCTGTATCCACTGATTTCCTCCATCTGCCAAACCCTTCACACCAAACTTCAGTTCCACCTGGACAGTTTAGAGGATGGATAAAGCCACCCTCTGCTTTTTTGTCTTTTTTTGGAATAATCCTTTTTAGTGACAGGATTACTGGAGGGGAATCTGGAGTAATTTTAACTGACAGCCTTAATCAAACCATGAAAGCAGTTATGGAGTTTTTCATTCACAACTAAATGTCACCTAAAATGTAACTGACACCACATGCTGCAGTTTTATCACAAAACCTTTATTGATGTACAATAATTTCACTCTTGTTAATCTCATAATTTTCATAAATTCTTTTTCTCAAACAATAACTTATTCCCACACAATAAGACTATTTTACAATTTAACCCTATCAATTTCTTCCAAGAAGCAAATTTATTGACAAGATTCCTCAAATGTATGCATTCTACACCACCAATCACAATTAGTACAAATTAAGGTACTGTTAGTTGTTGAAAAAATGACCAATAACTTTCAACATTAGTATTGACTATGGCTAGCATAGCTAGCTTTGCGGTAAATTCCATCTCTTGCCCCTAGGAGTGTATGATAAAGTTGTATTTACAGAAAGTATGAATATCAAAACTTGGAGCGAAGTCATTCAAATGAAGAAAATGTTTTAGTCGAGAAAGTGCTGCTTTCCAATATATTTAACATATGAGGACAGTTGGTTTCAACAAAAATAACTTGCAGTGAGGCAGCAGAAAAACTCTCTTGACAAAGGCAAGGAAGACCTTTATATAATATATTATACAAATTACCACTCAACCGTTAAAAAAATATAATCATCAAACCAAGATCTTTTTCGGAGATAGAGCCTTCAGCTAGAGACAGTTTGTTCGTTATTTATTTGTCGTTGTTCAAAGTCATCTAAAGCTTGTTTAACTTGTCTTTCTCTAGAAATCATAGCGTGCGCTTTCTCTCTCATGTGCTGTTCTTTCTCCTGAAACCAAAGAAAGAAAAAAATTATTGCTAAAAATGGTTGCCATCCAACCACTTTTGGTTTCGTAACCCTATTTTTCCTCGTGCAAAGGTTAACATTGACAGAATTGCGAAAAATTAAATTGAAGAAGAGGACCTCTTGTAAATTTCTTAATAATGAAAATGAAAACGATTGATTTTATTACCTAGTACTCATTAAATCATTCCACCTAATTATTCTAATAGGCCACGAGATTAATAACGCTCTAAAACTTTTGAGGGAAAAATTGAGGAGATTTTTCAGCTTTACTTACTAAAAAAAAAAAACCGATAACTAAAAATAAGCAGTTTGCCACGTCAGGTAATGATTGAAGAGTTTGAATTTTCTATAGCTCTCATTAATTGTTGTTTTTATTACCAAACCGTTTTAAAATATTGTTAAAATGAAATACACTCTTACTCTTCTTCTATCCTCGGCGTGTTTAAGCTTTTCCTCTATTTCTTCCTTGGTTCTTCGAGCTCCTTTCTTCTTCCGCCTTTCCAACGTCTCCAGGTGTTGAGGCCTTCTTTTCACGTTACCGGTTTCAGGAACCAACATGATATCAAACGCCATTCCACCCCTGCTCTGGGGTCTTTCTGTCACTCCACCAAGCGGCGATAAAGCATTTATTCGGTTTCTAACTTCTTCCTGTTTTTCTGAAAAGGAAACTCGCTTCTCCTTCAAACTCTTCCTTCTTGAAACTTGAGTACCTTCGATGCATAGCTCTTTAGAAAAAAAATTCAAATTAAAAAAGTGCACTCTGATAAAACTCAAGAGTTAATATAGTAACGAATAATTAGTTTTACTAGCAGAGAATTTTGAAGATTACACTGGTCGTCAAAATAAATAAAGACATCATTAATTGAATGCATGTTAACTCGAACGTGACACTGTTTTGCTTCGCTTGGACGCTTGGAAACAAAGCGCGCAACCCTTTCGCAATTTTTGATCCTCCCTCATGCGACTAAATGCACGTTCTTTCCCGCAACGCGTAGCAAGCTCGCGAAAATATCACACCTCACCCAGAAAATTAATTTTGAAAAATAACATTTTGCGTTCACTCAAGTTTCAGAACTAAATTGTACACCAACCTGGCGTCGGAGGCCTCTCGTCTATCAGTGCTTTCTTCTCTTTGTCCAGCGTTGATTTTTCTGTCACAATATTTTCGTCGTCTTCTAATTCACCTAAACCACTATCCATGGTTCTCGTAGATTTCGCCGAGCTTTCCCGATTGGATCTTTCAGAATCAGAGTTTGAATTCAGACTACTTTGACTTCCTTTTAAACTGTCGACATTGGACTGTTTCACTAGAATTGCTGTCGAAGTTTTACTTCCTGTCTCGGCTCGAAGTTCTTGTGTATTTTCTTTGGGTGATGATTTTGAATTTTCTTTTAGCTCTGTTGGTATCGGGACCACAACTTTGGACGTTTTCGAAGCTGAGCATCCCATATTTGATCAAGCACTGCAACGCAACAAGAGTTTCCGTGTCAAATATGCCCTTGAAGAAATTTCTTCGTGCTCACTCGCGATTGAAATTGGGAACAGGCACGAAATGTAACACGCATGAAGCTTACAACGAAAAAATAGGTTTCTTTTTACCTGTTAAAGATCCAGATTAAGAGGAGAGAGTTAGAAAATCAAATGAGAGGGAAGAACCACCGATAGACTGAAACATTCACGGCGAAGATGATCTTGTTAATTGGATTTTGCGTTACTGTAGCTCAAATTTATGCACGAAGTAAGGTTGCTAGAGCAAAATAAGCTATTGTCATGGAAACGTTTACAAATTTTCGTGTTGCTATGGAACTCCGAGCTGAAAGAGTTAGGATCGTGGGCTCAGCCTATTTCCAGTCTCTTTCCTCCAAGGATGATGACGTCATTAAGTTGAGAAACCGCTGATCATTGTAGGACCCCAGTAATTCGGAAACTACTTGCGACAGAAGTTATCAATACGAAAAGTGAGCAAATTTTGGAAGATTTTAGGTGAGAAAGCTGACTTTGTTAAGTATAACAAACACTAAGTTATTTTTCTTTCTTTATTTGGTATTTTGGTGGGTTTCCATGGTATATTTCGCATCTCTGGTCCTCGAGATTGTTTATTACCGAGTGGTTGAGATCGCGAACGACTTCATTTTGGCTAAGCAATTTATTTCAGGCTAAATCTACCTAATGGACACCAAAACTTATTAAAAAACTGGGAAAAGTTACATTTAACGTGGAAAGTTTCGCAAATTTATGTTAAATTGATGACGCCAGAAATATCTCTAAAAGTTGTTGTGTCGACAAATATGACTTCATTACACTAGATAAAGGAACCGCGGAAGACTTTCATTATCGTTAGAAGTTTCCATACAAATTAAACAAAGTGAATCGTATTTGCGCATGAAATGAAAAGGTAGAATTGAAAATAGCTGTTTTCTGAAGAAATTGTCGAGTGTTGTCTTCAAACTTGAACGTGTTCATTTTCGCTGAGCTGTTAGTTAATAATTATGTACGTATGTGTACGTTGGAACGTAGTAAATTTATTTTGTTGAATCAAGAAATTAAGTTGCATTTTAATCCTATTTAATGCTACCTCAACTAGGTAAATTTTTCAGCTTTTACTTTGGGTTTTAATTTCCATCTCTATTTTTACAGCCTCGTTGTAAAGAGAGATAAGCACTATGTCCTTTGGTGAATATAGTACAAACTCCAGCACAGGTGAATATGAATATAACTTCTTGACTGCTTTACCTTCTGCCTGTATTTCAAACCCAGATTGATTTCTGATTCTCTCATACTATGCTGTAATCAAAGCTTAGTACACATTAAGTAATTATGATGCCTGATTTTGTTCTAATTACAATAATTTGTACGTAACTGTCGTATAAAAGGACCTTCGCATAAATCTTTTTTTTTTGTGCTTAAATCTGAAGTAGAGTGCAATTCTCCATTTTTGAAGCATACTCTAACCAGTGTTATTTGGTGTGAATTCAATTTTGTGGTTAGAAAACTAATGAATTTGTGTATGATTTAGTTGTTTATTTTGTTTAAAGGAGCAAAGGGTGGATCCACGGAATATAACAGACTCTGTAGCTGTGTTAGCAATAATATTCAAGCAATCAACAAGAATGGTATGTTGATTTAAAATTGTGTTAATATCTGATAAATATACTTGTTGAAAGATATGGGTAAGTACATGACCCAAAAGTGTGTTACAAACTTTTCTTCAAAATCTCAAATTAACTGTTAGTGAATAATAAAAAACACAAGTCCACAATGAGTCTAAGGAATAAGCAAAAAAAGCAGAATTGAAACTGACTTTGAGGTAACATAGCTACATTTCTAAATATTAGTTAGAGAAGTAATACTATGTGCTTTCAAGATAACTAGTGGACCTCGCCGCCTGTTGTTAAGGCAAATTCAGGTTTATGTTGAGTGTTATCGTCTAAAAACACATCCAAAATCACAAACCAGTTTAATTTACATCCATCTATCAAAAAAGTAATCAAAATGTTGCCCTGTGAACCATGTCTAATTTTTTTGTAATTATGTTCTTGAAAAGTCTGTGACATCGCATGTGGTGGTGAAACATAAACACATATTTTCCGTCCTGAACTCGAGACATCTTTAGCTCATATGTTATTAAAACATGCAGTGATATCTTTCTGAGACCTTTAATTTATTGGAGTAATTTATTGTTGTTGGTATCAATCCACAGTCACAACAATTCAGAAGCTTGTGGACAAGCTTGGCACTTCAGAGGATAAATCACAGCTGCAGAGCAAACTGTAAGTTGTGATATTAATAGACCCTTCAACTCCCAAGATCTGATTGTTAATTCTCCCCTCTAGCTGCTACACATTTCTTTGTGAATTAGTTGCAAGAATTTGGTGTTAGATCAAGACAACAACTTTTTTTCTGATGAGTTTGAGTATTCTCATTACCTGTTTTCTGGATAATGTAGGGTTATTCATTACACAGGGCTTGAAATTGCGACCACTACAGTCGCATTTGCCACTATATTTAAGCATCAAGTCGCAAAATGGCGACTGAACTTTTCTTTTAATTTTGAGCCCTGTTGTAGGAAGAAGCTGTACGTTAATCACTCCTGGGTTAAAGGGTTAACACAGTCACAGTTACCTTAGATTTTTGTTGATTGAAAATGACAACATTCATGATGAGTTTTGAATTTTGTATTTTAGACAACAAACAGAACAAGCCACTCAAAGACTTGCCAAGGAAACTCACTCCTACTTGAAGCAGCTTCCTCATCTTTATGGAGAATCACCAGCTGAAATAGTAATAATAATTTACGCGCAACTTTTTTAACAGAACTGTACAGCTGCATTCATACAACCATATTTAGTTCAGTTTATTTGGTCTCCCTAGCACTCTTTAGGAAGGGATTCCATGCAAGGGGTAAAAGATACCCCGATAGTTCTCTGTAACTTTATGATTATAGTAATGGATGTCCAATTGTTCGATACTGGAGTCCCTTCTTAGGACAAAAGTGAACTGAATTTAAAGAAAGATCATGATTTCCATGGTTAAGTTATTGGACAAAGAAAGAAAAGTTTCATTTGTTACGAGAAAGCAGACCCTCTCCTCCACCCCTCCCCCCCTCACCCCCCCAAAAAAGGAAAACTAAAGCAATAAAACTGAATCTGTTGTGAGAAATCTATTTGTAGTTGTTTTGTCTCTTGACAAGAAAATGACATTATATATCAAATAGTGGTGTGCTGTTTGTGTTTGAGCATTTGGTACGAGGGAGAAGAATTTTACTAAAAAAATTTTTATTATCTTAAGGTAGTTAATTTGTAGCCCATTACTTGAGAAAAACTATTATAGAAGTAGAAGTTTTCTGATAAATCATAAAGCCAAAGTTTTTTTTTTTCTCTTATTGTAGCGTCAAAGGAAAATACAAGTGGAGAAGTTAACAGACAACTTCTCAACTGCCTTGAACAAATTTCAGGAATTACAGAGGGTAAATTAATTTTGAGTTTCAATAGAATAACTAGTTTCAATATATAAATTTTTTTGGATCAAATTGAGGTGATATTTGTTGATGATCATGTGGATTTTAGACAGTTTAAAGTGTCAGTTATCTTTTTCTCTTTTCGGGTAAACAGACTGCAGCAGAAAAGGAGAAAGCATCTGTTTCACGTGCAAGGTCAATGTCAGCAGGAATGCCAACTCCAAGTGTAAGTGTGCTCTGAAAATGTTGAAAAATCTTTTAAATTTCAATGAATAGATGAATTTTTATGTAACATGTAATGAACTGGTCCTCACATATTTTTCTAAGAATTCATTTTTTTGCACAAATGTTTACATCACCTCAAGCTTTGACTACAATAACTGTGTAATGAAAATGTGATTACCGTAAATCCTCTATTAAGCCCCCCCTCTAATAAACCACCCCCCTCTAATAAGTCCTCCCCCTTTAGAGGAAGAAGTTTATCAAGCCCCCCCCCTCCCCCTCTATTAAGCCACCCCCTGAAATAAATAAGCCCTTGGCCCGGGGGGGGGGCTTATTTGAGGATTTACAGTACTTGTTATGTGACCACTGGGATAGAAGCCAAATCAGCAACTTTTGTTGCAAATTTGGTTGGGCAAAAGGTTTTCTTTTTATTATGGCAATCCAAATAGTTGCAGTGCAGTGCCTTGCTCATAATATATGTTTAACAATTTTGTTGTATGATTTGTTTCAATAGCCAATGGGTGGATATAATGATGAGCATAGCTCGACTTCAAATGATAGGTAAGTAGCCTAATGCCTTAGTGTTATTGTAAATGGAATAAGAAAGATGGTAAGTTTAGCATCATTCTAGAGCAGTTTCCTGATGAATGCAGACCGGGAGTGCATCAATTTTGTTAGTACATATATTTTCGATTGTTACATATTTTTCAGAACTGGTGGTGGATTCCAGGTACAAGCAGAAGAGGAGGTCTCTGTGGAATTGATAGAGGAGAGGGAAAGAGCCATTAGACAGCTGGAGGTATTGTCACATGGCCCTTAGAGTCTGGTGAAGAAAGGCTTTTCTTTGAATGTGCAACACTCTTGTATCCAAGTTGCAGTGCAGATGAAAATAGCCCATTCCCAATTCTTTTAAAATACATAATAATCTGCTGTGGAATGGGATTGTGTTGGAGACCAGACTGATTAAAGTGTATAGCAGGGATTAAGAATGAATCTGACAGAGTGTGAAGTTTTACAAGTCATTCACCTTTATAGTGCTGTCTCTGCAATCCCTTCGCATTATGGCCTATAACTTTAATTTAAAATTGTTTTTTCTTCTTGTCTGTAGGCTGATATTGTTGGTGTCAATGAAATTTTCAGAGATCTTGCCACTATGGTCTACGAGCAGGGTGACATGATTGGTAAAATATAATTTCAATTTTACCTAATACCATTTTCCTAAATAGGTCCTTAGTTTTTCATTAACTTTCCAATCACCTTTCTCTCTTTGACCTACAGATAGCATTGAGGCGAATGTAGACAGTGCTGCAGTTCATGTTGAGGATGGCAATGTCCAGCTACAGAAAGCTAGTAACTATCAGGTATGCACAACTATTTTGATTTTGATAGGTTTGAAATCATAGTAGCTGTTTGTTTTTACTGTCTACATGATATTGCCATTGTAATTAACAAAACCAATTTGGTCTGTGGGAGATTAGGACTTACAGGGTTAGGATTCCAGGTGTCATAGTGTGATGTTCCAGGGCAAGACACTTTACCCTCGCAGTACTTACCTCTTTCCATCTGAGAGAAAAGTTGAGCACTCATAAGCTGTCAAGAAAATATTCTGGGAGAGGGGTGAAAGAGGTAACCTGTGATGGATTAGCAAGCCATCCCAAGGGGAGTAGACGTTTGCTTCATGCCACATAAATCAGGGATTAACTCAGACAGCTATGAGCCACTAAGTCTCAAAGGCTTATTTTGACTGCTTTTATCGCTAAAGAATGGGAATGCTTTGCTGAGATCAAAGGGTGTAAAAAGTACCCTAAACTTAGAAACAATTAGCGAGTTTATTATAAATTAAAATATATTTCATTGCAGAAAGCAGCAAGGAAGAAGATATGCTGTATCCTAGTTATTTTGGTTGTTGTTGCAGGTGCCTTGGGTCTTATCATTTGGCTGTCAACAAAGAATTAATATTAATAGCATTAGTAAATGAGGTCGCTCTAAGCTTAAAAGGAAAGTTTTCAAATAGAAGTAAACCATTTAGCTCCTAACACATTACTATTGAATACAAACAATAGGAGTCAGAACGTAAGACACTCCAGGAACATAGGTGCATTTCATGATTCAGTAGGCACAATGTTGTCTTAAATGAGCTTTAGTGATTGCAGGCATATGCACTCTCATCCATTCCATTTCTAGTGTTTAGTTTCATTCACAAATAAAATAATTTTGATTACCATGGACAGCCACTTCATATTTTGTACATGGTGAAAAATTTAGTATAAATTGTTGGTTGAAGTTTATTTTACTCTCAAACACAGAAAATAGTGAGCACCTGAAAAGTATTCCAAATGCATATTGTGTTCCACTAAATCAAGCTGGAGATCAGGACATGTGAGGATTAACCTCAAAGTAGTTTTTTGTTCATGGCTTTTTGAGTTTCACAGTGATCTTTGCTGCCCTTGTTCCTCTTCCATCGATGGTTGCCCCAGTCTGTAATGTGTTTTCTTTATATTGTATTACTTCAAAATGGGGTTAAAATCTCCCAACTTTTAATAGCAACTTATCAATCAAGATTTGATATCTTTATTACTACTAGAAGATAGATTAGCTAGAAATCTACAGCGTTAGGTTTGAAATATGAATGACAGTTTTACTGTACCCTTAATATGGACATAAGTGGTTTGTAATCTTCACATCAGAATGTTGCCAAAAATTTTTTTTTTGCATTCAAACAAAGGTTGGTGTTAAACAAGATGCACTTTATGTAGCAGTGCATAGTTTGTAATTGTATGATTGAAATAATTTTGCCAAACACAATGGGTTTACTTGGTGATAGTGAAGTTAGAAATGTTAAAAAAGTTTTTGTGGGTAGATCAAATGAGAGAATAACGTATACTAATATAGTTGTACTTTTTGAAACAACAATAAGACATTACAGTACTGTACAGTCCTATGTTTCCCATTTATAGAGTTCAAGTATACTGACATTAGTATGGTTAAGAGAATTAGTTGTAATTAGGTTACTTGCCCTCCTAAGTAGACAATGAAATGAATGGATCTTAAAAAAGAAACCAGAATGTTGTCTGTTTTTGTTTTCTACCTTCCAGATATAATTGCATTGCAATTAAGTATTTTTCCAAACTTTCTGTATCTGTAAAAATATTTGTGTTTAAGAGTGTAACAACCCATTCACCTGATTAACCCAAGTCTTAATTTCAACTGACAAACCCATAAACAAGGCTTTTGTTTTTGTCACTTGGTATATATATATATATATATATATATAGTTAATGGAAGGTTTTATTTGGGATGTGCTTTGTTTGAAGTTGCCACCTGAAAGTTGTTGGTAGTTGATAAAGATAAGATTCTTGTTATATTGTAAATAATCATATGTTTTTGAAAAAATTAGTGTACACTCTAAACTCTGTTTTGTTAAGATCAGATAAATAAATAAATAAACTTTAATAGCTAACACAATTACTGGTAACCCAGTAGTTTACATTGTGGACGGTATTAAAAATAATTATAAAAACTAGATTATCAAGAACAGCATGTACATAAATATATTCAAAACGTCCTAGAGGTAGTAAAATGTTCACGATCTAAATTACTTTGTAAAAAATTGTTCACTAAAAGTTTCTTAAAGTTGCTTTCATCTGTAATAGTTTTAAATTTGTCGTCCAGATGGTTCCATAAGTAAGTGGCACTCGCATGAAATATTCGAAGGCCTCCGTTGGAGCGACATTTCGGCACGGCCAGATGATCATGAAAAGAACCTCGCGTATTATAAGTATGGGTGTTTTTTACTTTTGTTACACCATTTTGAAATCACTGGTAGTCCCTGTAATCTGATTGGCTCTAATTGGTGCGATTTATTCACGAATCGCACCATTTTTTTGCACTAAATTGCATCATTTTACGCTTGACTGAGTGTTTGACACATGATCAGGCAATCTTTCTGTTTTGCATACAAAATAAGATGTGAAAGCGTTTCCGGTTTCGCTTTTTATTTAAAAACCCGCTCAGTACTGCATCAATAAAATATTTGAATTGACTAAGTCCTGTATTTGGGCGATTTCAAAATGGATGTAATAAAGGGATAATTGAACCTCCTGTCGTGCAATTTTGGTCTGAAATCATACTTGTGATTTCAAATCGAACGAGTGCTGCGCGCTAGTTCGATTTTGAAATCATGCTTATGATTTCAGCCCAAATTGCACTCCACTCAGTTCAATTACCATTATAAGTTCTCTAGCTTGTAAAGTAATGCAGACACTCTCTGTTCACAATTTTGAACATCATGCACAATTTCTTCATGCGTATTACATCAGCAATTGGCATCCACTGTAGTTTCTCCAACATTTGAACCAAGTCATCGCGGAAACTCGGGGGGTGTAATTTGCAGGTTGTAGGTTGCAAGTTGAAGTATGAGAAACAGTCCGTGTGTTTTTCATGACCCTGTTTAAGACTGTGGCCAAAAATGCCCTGTTTAAGGAAATATTTTCTTTTTAGACAGAATAGAATACAATACAAAATGGGAAAAATTCCAAAGACTGTTGAGCTTATTCAAAAGTTATCATCAAAGGAAGGGACTACGCGCTCCAGTCAAGTCACACTATCTTTAGAAAAAAACTAAGCTGGAGTTTACTAAGTCACAGAGCAATTCTCCATACTTGAGGTAGCTTCCTTAAGAGGCACTTCAATCTTTTAATATTGGATCTGTAAAACATGCTGAAATCATGCACAAAACGTGATATATTATCATTCTGCAAAGAAAACTAACAAGCTGGGCCCAGCGTTAGAACTCTACATTCACGGACTAAAGAAGATCGCCTATTCATTAACATCCAGAATACAATTGGAGAAAAGTTCAACCCTTATTCAGCCGTAATAAAAAGCCTTACGCTTCAAAGGAGGTCTAAGAAAACGCTATTCCATCAGAGAGGAAATCAACAAAAACCACAGTAAATCGATCTGTGTCCAATTACCTCTCAATGTGACGTAAGCGGCTAAAATTACATTAGCTCAGTATAAATGCTACCTTCCCGAGCATAATCTACCCGGCAGAAGTAATTAGAATACTTTATAAAAAGGAGCAGCATTTTGCCATGAGGTAAAAGTCGTGAAGGGCTACCACCACCTTTTTTCAGATACAAATTAAAAAAAAAAACAATTTCGTGGGACTAAAGATATTTCCGGTTTGCGTAAACAGTGAATCACTAGCCGCGTACTTTAACCTGCAACCTGCAACCTGCAAATTACACCCTCCACGTGGAAACTAGCATCTAATATTAACCTACTACAACGTTTCTGCACTCTAAGCATTCTCAGATTGAATTGTTACTCACTTCAGTGAGCAAGGTCACTATCTGTCCAGTTGAAATATTTACCCCATTAGTCTCCTAAGCTTTCAAGCTCTTTTGATTCTATAGCTTGATCTAGTTGGCCGTGAAGGCAAAGTTTGACTCAATCGTTGCACATAGAAATGAATAAACATAACAGCTCTCTATGTAGCTGTGTAGTGGTGGTTGGAAATGAGTCGGTAGAACCTTACTCCATCTGCTGTTTGTTGTTTTTGTGGTTGTTTTTTTAGAGATTCCTCCCAAATTTTTTCCTTTTTGCCCGTAAAGGGGACCCTTATCAATATGACTTCCTTTCAAGGCATCCTGTAAAATTGATATCTAAAATAAATATTATTTAGTTCCCACTATGAAGGTAAAAAAAAAAAAACGATCTCCCTCAAATTTGCATTTTTTTGCGCTCGGGAAATGTCAAAAACGAAAGAAATTTTGGGCTCTTTCCATTCAACAAAAATCACGGGTTCAAAATGTCGGTATTTTCGCTGGCCAAATGGAACGCGTCCGACCGTATCCAAGAGGGCACACTCAAAACGTATTCCTAAATTTTCGAAAACTTATCCCGGAACTTTTCCCGTTCCATTCGATTTCAGACCGAAAATCTCGAAAATTTTGGTCAAATAGAAAGCGCCCTTTATCACCATAATCAAATAGAAAAACGGTACTACAAGCTTGAGTGAGACTGAGCACTAACCTTTCCTAACATGGTAGTAAACGTGACCCTTTCGTCATTGCACGCTGGAATTTCCCGCGAGGTTTAAAAATATGGAGGACAATGAGAGTTGTCAGATTTCATTTGCGTTGCCAATTGAAAAGCTCCCATTTGACAGTGACACACCAAAAAGTAGACATATCTGCGACAAGAACAGTCCTCTAAATCCAGGAGAAGTTTGCAAAATGAGAAATCACCCTAAAGTTACCTCTGTCCTTTTTTCTCCGCCGCGAGCTTCGCGCGTTGGTGAAGGAAAAATCAAACCTAAGTCTTTCTCGACGAGGTTATATTCCTCGCCAACAAGGAAAACGGTACGCAGTGTTGTTGAATGTTGTATGTCTTGAACTTAAGTTCCTCAGTGTTTGAGAAAGTATTGATCTTTTTCCAGAAACCGAGCGGAGTCGAAAAGGAGAAGAGAAAAACTCTTCAAGTTCTCCAACCAGCTGCAAGCGGCAATGGCACGCTTGTTGGGAGCCGTGGCGTCGTTAGGCACAATGAAATGGTAACAAGCAGATTTTTTTTATTTGAGATGAATCCCTGGTTGGTAGTTAGTTTTCCTTCGATTTGAATGTTGTTAGTTGTTCATAGTAGTAACCTAAATGAAGAAAAAAGAAAAGAAAAACAACTACGTGGACTCGTAAGTTCAGATAGATGAAACGAGTTGAAATTTTGTAGCTTGAAGTTTAATATTTCTCTTCTAATTTCGCACGTATATAGTTATCAACCCTTTTTTAAGAAGAATTCATTGTAACCAATGAGGTTGCAAAGTCGCGGAGGGATATTTTTATTTAACTTGTTATGTTTTACTTTTACGGTTTAAGAAACTGAAGAAGGGTAAATCACCATCTTCGAAACTCAAACAGCAGAAGATTAAGATTCCTCACAAATCAGGCAACAGTTCTTCTTCAACATGTGCGGATTCCTCAGATTCTGATACCGCTGTCAGTTCAGCCAGAAAGGTGAAATTAAAAATTAACGTATATTCCTGCCTTCCTGGATAACTTATAATACATACTTTTTAGGTGTGAAAGGGAACATCCCATCCTTTTCTTTTTTATCCGCACCCTGTTCCAAGATGGCAGGATTCGTGGACAAAATCCATGGGTTGGTGTATCTCCATCATCTTGCACACTTTCCTATGCCTATGGGCTGCCAAGCAGACCCTTGACAAGCTGGGTTGCTTTGAGAGGGTTTTCTAGAGGTTTGGACAATACCTTGTGCATGGAATATTTGGACCCAAAGTAATTAAAAGTTGACATAATAATTTATTATTGAACAACAATATTGCTTGCCTCTACCAAATCAATTTATTCGTAGCTTAGGACTGCTCTACCACAGCAAGTTGTCACCAGCCTGTGAATATGTTCCTCTCATTGCTCTCAGCCAGTGTCCCCAATAATGTGTTTGGCCAGTTGTGAAGAGAAGCAGCTGTCTTTTGTGTTATAGCACTCGGAAACATAACATTCTATGCAAATTGTAGTGAAGCAAGGTTCTCCTTTGCTCTATTTCCTCTCAATTTAGTAGGCGATTATTGATTCCCAGTCCACCAATCAACAAGTTTGTGACCTCTTGACTTTTGAATGATACCAAATGGTTCTTTTTTTCATAGAATACAAAATCTTCTCATGGGGAATCATTAGATGAAGCAGTAGCATTAATGGTTTCAGGCAAGTGGCTATTGCATGGTTGTGTGACACCATGTGATTTTTTAATGTTGTAATCCCACTACTAGGTAGTATTCAATTTACAAATGAGTAAAGGCTGTTAGTTTCGAAAGAAACTGTTTGGGGCTGCGTCAGTGGGGGTAACGAAATAATTTGGATATATCAACAAAGTTGAAATGGTAAATTGGCCACCGTAACGATTACAAAAGGTGACGTTTCGAGCGTTAGCCCTTTGTCAGAGCGAAGGATTCAATTTACACAATTTGTTAGACTTGTGCCTCATAATTTATTCTTGGGGCACAGGCAACTTGATCAAATTTTGTATGGTGCCCAAAAGGTACAAGATTTTCCACCAATTACTCTTTTATTTCTTGCTTTATTGCTTGGTTGCCTTAACATTGGTTTTAACTTCAGTTGGTAAATTGTTTGTCCAAAGATCCGCCACCTGAAAGATATTGGGAGCTTTTGGCAGAGGAGAGGAGACTGGCTCTACAAGAGGCATTGGAGGAGAATGAAAGGGTGAATATATTTATACTGAATGATAACTATTTAAACAACATTGAACTTGAAAGGGTTAATAAGTCATTTCAGTTCAAAGTTTACTAGCTTGCATATGAGCTGTTTGCAAGCTAATGGTTGCAGAATGAGAATTTTGTAATAATATTATATATATATATACACACACACACACACACAGAGTACTCTTGTTTTGATTAACTTGCTTGTTTTTAACTTAGATGCATAAGGAGTTAGAAGAACTCAGGGAAAGAAATAAAAGCCTTGAAGAAATTGCTGGTCAAGCTGAGTATTTTGCTTCTCTTTACCAGGTACTTGACTTGTTTTTGAATATTTATTTAACCTATTCAGTTTCTTTTTAGTAATCAGGATAAATTTACCACACATATATATCTATATATATAACAAGTTAAAAGGCCTTGAGCCAACAGTGACGCCGCGTCAGAAGGATCTAAAAGGATTCGCAGTCCAACCTTGATAAATGGTAGGAGAAGTAGTGTGGCACACGAGGATGGACAACTTCGAGTGAAGGAAGACATATACTCAATAAAAAGTCTAAAAATTTTAATAAGATTGTATTACAACTGATGAAGGTCTCGGACCGAAACGTTTTTTATTAAAATTTTTAGACTTTTTATTGAGTATGTCTTCCTTCGCTCAAAGTTGTCCGTCCTCGTGTGCCACACTACTTCTCCTATATATATACTAAACAATTGTACAGGAAAATAAAAATTAAAACTTTGCACTACAGATCTGTTTCGAAAGGGTTAAAAAGTCCTCTCTCATCAGGTGCATAAGATACTGGTTGACTAACGATCCTTTTTCAAGTTGGNGACGGCCTGGGCGCATTCCAGCAAACACCGAGAAGGATCGAAAAAATTAAAAAAGATATTTGCAAAGTGTTCAGCACCAACGGCTTGAAAATAACTATCGAAGCAAACAAAAAAGTGGTCAACTTTCTCGATGTTACTTTGAACCTAAACGAAGGATCTTATGAGCCATATTCAAAGCCTAACAACACACCCCTGTATGTGCACCGTGATAGTAATCACCCACCTTCCATCCTAAAGAACATTCCCCTGGCGATCAATAAAAGGCTTAGCGAAATTTCATCGGACAGAGTATCCTTCGACAAAGCAGCACCCATGTACCAGCAAGCGTTAGAAGCAAGTGGCTATAATCATCAATTAAAATTTGACACAACAACTAAAGACCAGAGGAGTACAGAAGGGAGAGGAAGACACCGAAATATAACTTGGTATAACCCACCTTTTAGTAAGAACGTTGCCACTAACGTGGGAAAAAAATTTTTAGGCATCGTAAAAGAATCCTTTCCGCCAGGGCACTCACTAAGAAAGATTTTTAATAGGAACACTTTGAAAGTAAGCTATTCGTGCATGCCAAATTTAGAAAGAAAAATCGACGCCCACAATAAGTCCGCCCTCGCAAATAATTCCCAATCGCAAGAAAAATCATGCAATTGTAGAGACAAACACTCTTGCCCGTTACGTGGCAATTGCCTAATTCAAAATGTGGTCTACCAGGCCACAGTTGAAAGTCCCTTGGGAACCCAAACGTACGTCGGCCTTACTGCGAACCAATTTAAAACAAGATTTAGAAACCATACAGCTTCATTTAGACATGAGAACAAAAGGAACGCAACAGAGTTGAGCAAATATATCTGGTCCCTAAAGGATGCTGAAACGGAGTTTTCCGTGACCTGGAAAATAATGGCTCGTGCCAGGCCATACTCGAACACTACAAAGAGATGCAACCTTTGCAGAACTGAAAAATTCATCATATGCAGAACAGGGGCAGGCACCCTAAACAAAAGGAACTAACTGTCAAGTGCATGCCGGCACTCAACTAAATACTTGATAGGGCATACTTAAACCACCAACTTAAAAAAGGATGGTTAGTCAACCAGTATCTTCTGCACCTGACGAGAGAGGACTTTTTAACCCTTTCGAAATAGATCTGTAGTACGAATTTTTAATTTTTATTTTCCTAGTATACAATTTACAGAGCTCCATGATTGTAGAGCACTCTCCGATTCGAGGATAAGGTTTTTTACGTTTATATATATTCTATATACAAATGTGAAAGAAGGAAATTATTACTAGTTACACGAGTTTCGCGCTCTAGGCAATCATCAGACTGATGATCGCCTAGAGCGTGAAACTTGAGTAACTAGTAATAATTTCCTTCTTTCACATCTGTATTTTGCTCTGTGCATTTCTGCATCAAGCACTCCAAGGATAAGTGAAACAATTTTCTTGTTATTCATTTATACTAAATACATGTATTTATTTCTTATACCTTCTTGTGATGGATCATTTCACAGATGGTGATGGAGGGAGAAGTTCCTGATACAGAGTCCAGTGATAATGATGAAGAGGTGGATTGATGTATTTTAACTGTCTTAATTCAATGACTTATTTCTGATCAAGTACTATTGTGAGTTTTTTTTATTGTTTTTTTTTTAATTGGGTGATGTTTTCAAGAAGGATCTCCCTGTGATGCACATTTCCCTCATATTTTTATTTATCCATGCTCACATTGTTTCACTATGCACCTTAAGAAACCTGTTGCACCTCAAAATTAAGATGTAATTGTATATATTATAATTAAGAATAATTGCATAATGATTGTTAATTTGTGTTCTCTTTTTGGAATTCTTACGGCCATTTTGTTCTTTAAGGTTATGTATGCATAACTTATTTTCTCCAAAGATAGAATTCTTAGTGGCTTTGCCTTGATTATTACTTGTCGTAATACAGGCCCCAAAATTAAAATATCATTTAAATGAAATTAGTGAAAGCTTTGTTTCAGCTGTTTTTATTGAAATGACACTCCTCATCAGAAGTCTAACCAATTTTGACAAGTTAGCAGTACATAAGAATGTCTTGTTAACCCTGTGACTTTCTCTACGACTTTTAAATAGTTATGATCTGACCTTGCTCGTATTTCTTAGCGGCACAGCCCTTACCGTGACAACTGAGTGCTTGCTGAAGCACACTTTTCCTTTCCCTTTATTTCAAACAAAGCAGCTGCTACTTTTGTATTCTCCAACACTGTCTAAATAATATTTTGTTGAGTGATGTATTGTGTTCAGGCAGGTATTTGAACAATCTCTCTAAATTTTCTTCCAAGAAGAGGTATGATGCTAAAACTATTAAATGTTGTTACAAAGAATCCTTTGGAACCTTATAATAGCTTTTCCACCTAATTTTTCTTTTTCCTTGAGAATGAAGAGGGGACTTTCTTGGTGTACTGGAATAAAATCCCACTAAATTTACAATACTTTGACATGTTTGCCTCTGTAGAACCATGGCCAGGGACTGCCATTTTTGTTGGTCACCAGTATTTGGTGATACTTTCAGTGAACAGGGTTCCTTCAAAGTCTTGAATTCTTGAAAAAAGTCTGGAAATTTGCGAACTACTTTTCCAGACCTGGAAAAAGTATGGAAATTAAAGGCAAAGTCTTGAAAAATGGGATTAAGTCTGGAATTTTTCTCAAGAAACAACAGGTGTTTAAAAGCTAGCTGAAATATTTTCAAAGTAGCTGATTTCACTTGAATTAACTCGGCAAACGGCTAACCACTTTATGATAAGAAGTGGTACGGTAGGAGAATGAGATTGTTTCAAGTCTGAGAGCCCAGTCTCCAATGCCCTGCATTGCATTGTGGTTCATTGTGTTTGCAATGTATCATGGTTTATTTGTTTCCCGCATTAGTTGAGCGAGGGAAGCAATGTTTGTTCGCGTTCATGCACTAGCAGTTGTTCTTCTCTGACTTTTCTTTTGCTTCGTGATGATGGGGAAGTGTGTCTTTAACGGAAAGTGGAGAGCAGATGAAAAAATGAAGGCCTGGATTGCAGCTGATCCTACATCAAAGACCAAAGCGATGTGTGTT